GACTGAAGAAGTCTCGTGGAAGAGAGACGAAACGTTTCATTAAAGAAGAACCCGTCCAGAAGACATATACTATTTTTTTTTCCTTTAAACACTAAATTATTTCTTTACTAAAACCTCTGTAACTTTGCTCCAGTTCATTTTAGCAGCATGAATCTTTGTACAGGTGATGTCCACAGGTGGGTTTATGGTTTCAAGAGTTTTTAGTCTGATTCATTATGGTTTTAAATACGTTATATACTGTCTAATAAAAACATTAATCAGACGGGAGGGGAAACAATGTAAAAAAAAGTTCCATCCTTTATGTGTCTAAAACCATAAGTAGAGTTTATAAAAGCTGAGATACTCAGTTACATTTCAGCTTTTTGAGAAAAAGCTTGAAGAAAAGCTCTTGGAGCTGAAGAGGTTCAATCCCAGCTKCAGAGCAGTGAAGAAGTTTGCAGACCTGACTAACATGTCTGCTGTCAGACGTTTGATCCGAAACAGAAAAGTTCTGTTTGTTTGTGCTTCACACCTGGTGCTGGTCCTGGCTGAAGGCCTGGAGGATGTCCGTCTGACGGGTGAAGTTTCCGTTTGAATCCTGCAGACCCTGCAGCAGACGCTCCTTCAGGACCAGAACCGACACTCTGAGCTGGTGCCACAGCAGCTGCACAGTTCTGAAGCACACAACACACAACAACAGCTGGTACCCACAACTCCTTGTCGTATCTGTGAGCTTCTGTCCACTCACCTGATGTCCACGATGATGTTCACAGAGTAGGAGAGAAGTTTCAGGGAGAACTCTGTCTCCAGCAGGGCGTGGATCTGCTCCACGTGGTCCGAGATGTCCTCACAGATGTCCTGAGGTCACACAGAAGAACACAACCTTACACACCTGCCCTCACTTCCACCAGTGTGTGTGTGTGTGTGTGTGTGTGTGCATGTGCTCTGGAACAGGACAAAACCAAGGTCTGAAAAGCAGAACTCAGCCCACGTCTCTCCTTTTAACCATGACTCAGTTCCATGTGGGTCCAGTTCCAGCAGGGACACGTTCAGTCGCACAAATATTACCTTCAAACATCCTGAGGAGCTAAACAAGCTGTGGAACTGCTCAGACACACAATCTGACAACTGTCTGAGTATATCTGCAGCTGCAGTGAAACACAGACAAGATAACACACCAACAATTACACAACACAACATAACAACACACTGACATACTAACATACTAACACAATTACACACTAACATAATAACACAATAACACACCAACAATAACACAATAACACAACATACCAACACAACATACCAACACACTGACATACTAACACAATTACACACTAACAAAATAACACAATAACACACCAACACAACATAATAATGTTAATAATAATGAATTAATAATGTTAATAATAATGAATGAATTACAGTTATTAATAATAAATTATTTAATAATCATTCACGTCTCTTTAAATGAGTTGAACAGTTTTAAACTTTGGTTTCTTTGCAGCTAAAGTCTGGTTTTATTATTAGAACTGGATCAGAACTCCAGCTGCTGAGTCATGGTGTGGCTCCGTGGTGACCAGCCTGAACAACACACACACACACACACACACACACACACACACACACACACACACACACACA